ACTGAAAAGATGTTTAACTATCCTGTTGTTGAAAGAAAACTCCATATAAGTATTTAAAAAACAAACAAGATTAACCCCACCCACCCACCCCGATCTCAATTGTGATGAATTTTTCATTGGTTGTTAGACCGAGGGACGGAGCCTAATTACAAAATACATATTTCTCTATTGATTTAAATGAGTTTGTCTTCTCACAGCAGAGGACTAAAATTATTAATTAAACCACAATCGAACAAAATGTTATAAAGATTATGATTCATATTTTATCATTATTATATAAAGACGTTCGTTTTTTCGCATTCTCGAAAGAAAACAACACGGACACCGAAAATTGTTTGAAAATCTTAAAAAAAAAACAACAGGTCTTAGAAATCTTCCCAATTTTTTCAAAAATAAATCCAAAAACACCGTTTTCTTTATTTTTTCAAAAATAAACTACCTGAACCCTCAAAGTTCTCTCAGACTTTTTAATAAAAAAAACAGCAGGGGGGGCGGATTCTAAAAAATTCATAAAATAAACTATAACAGACTCCAAAATTGTTTTAAAATCTTACAAAAAACACGAAGGGAATTTGAGAATCTTAAAAAACCCCAAGAGATCTCAAAATTCTTTCAAATTTTGTCAAAAATAAATCAGCTGTGGGCCTCCAGGAATGTACTGAATCCTTTAAAAAAACACGGGTGGCCCCTAAAAATTTTTCATTTTGTTCAGAAATAAAATACCAGAAACTTCAATGTTCATCCAGATTTTTTAATAACAAAACACCAGGGGGTTTCGGGCGTCTTACAAACTCATAAAAAATACACTAGAGGACTCCAAAATTGATTCAAAATCTTAAAAAAATGATACGAAGAGAAATCGTGGTCTTTCCAAAATTTTTCAAAAATAAAACTAGAAGGTTTCAGGAAAAGTATCAAATTCTTAAAAAAAAACCTAGAGACCCTCTAGAATCTTACAATTCTTTTAGAAATAAAGCACCAGAATCTTTCAGATTTTTTAATAAAAAAACTGGTCTAAAGGATAATTCAACAGAACTTCCCTCGCCCCTAAAGTACAGCCAAATAAATCCCACTTCGCTGAAAAATTATCTTTTTTTTTTGTTTTCTGGTAACCTCTACAGTCTATAAAGTAAAAACCAGTGACGTAAATAACGCTCCCTCAGCTTATTCGAATGCATTTTTTCTTCAATTTTTCATTCTTTTTGTTCCTTCATTTTTTCGAGTTTTCAAGTTTAAATTTTCAATTTTTCAACTTTTCCATTGAATTTCTAGATTTTGCTATTTTTCGATTTGAGTTCCCAAAAAATTCCCAAAAAAATCTGTGATATAAATTTCTTCGTGCCGATTCCAAAAACAGCGTGTTTATGCTCCTAATGCAAAATAAAATATTCGGTTTGAAAAAATATATTTTTTTAATCTAAAAAGTTTCAAATTTCAGTGAACGATTCTGGAAAAAGTTAATAACTATCCAAGGAATGAGGCCAAAACTAACTTCTAAGGATCAAAAACGAAAATAAAATGTTTTTGGTTAAATTTCAACAATTTTCGAAAATTGACCGAAATTTTCTTATTGAAAAATTTTGCTTTTGAAAAAATTGACAAAAATTACTAAAAAATTCTGCAAAAGAGAATTCATTGTGCTGATTCAAAAAACGTAGCGTATTTATGTGCAAGATTTAAAAATACTCGGTTTTATTTTTATTAATCCAAAAAATTACAATAATAGAGTGGGTGATTTTGGAAAACTTACTTACGAAGGTCGAAATCTATGAGGATTTTTTTTTAATTTCGAATATTGCCTAAAATTAGGCGAATTCTGCAGGCTGAAATCCAAAAGAAAATGTTTTTGCTTAAATTTCGAAAATTGTCGAAGTTGGATGAAATTTTCTTATCGAAAAATTTTGCTTTTGAAAAAGTTGGCAAAAAATTCCCAAAAAATTCTGGAAATTGATTTCGTCGTGGCGATTCCAAAAACGTAGTGTGTTTATGCTCCTGGTGCAAAATTAAAAAATATTCGGTTTTAAAATATATTCTTTTAATACAAAAAATTGCAATAAATCACTGGACTAGAAAAATGGTTGGAGTTATGGAGAAATGAGGCCGAATCCAACTTCTTCAGGTCGAAATGTATAAGAAAATGTCTAGTTAAATTTCAAAAATTGTGGAAAATTAACTGAAATTTTCTTATCGAAAAATTTTACTTTTGAAAGTTGCCAAAAAATTATCAAAAAATTCTGTGATATGAATTTCGTTGTGCTGATTCCAAAAACAGAGTGTTTATGCTTCCTGTGCAAAAGTAAAAAATAATCAGTTTGCAAAATTTTTTTTTAATCCAAAAATTTGCAATATTCCAGTGAACGATTCTGGAAAAATGTTAGTAGCTATCGAAAGAATGAGGGCGAAACTAACTTCTAAGGGTCAAAATCGAAAGTAAAATGTATTTGGTTAAATTTCAACAATTTTTGAAAATTTGTCGAAAATTGGCCGAAATTTTTGATTAGGCCGAAACTAACTTTTGAAGATTGTTTTAGTTAAATTTCGAAAAAATGAAGTCGAAAGTAAGTTCTGGAGATCCAAATTTATAACAAAATGTCTGGTTAAATTTCGAAATTTTCATTTGAAATTGAAAAATTTTGTTTTTGAAAGAGTTGCCAAAAAATTCCTAAAAATTCTGTAAAATAGATTTCGTCGTGTTGATTCCAAAAACATAGCGTGGTAATCCCCAGTGCAAAATTAAAAAATATTCGGTTTGAAAAATTTTTTTTTTAATCCAAAAATTTGCAATATACCTACCAGTGAGCGATTTTGGAAAAACTTTTTAGGAGCTATCGAAGGAATGAAGTTGAAACCAACTGATAACGGTAAAAATCGAAAGCAAAATTTGTTTGGTTAAATTTCAACAATTTTTGGAAATTGTCGAAAATTGCCACAATTTTTTTATATCGGAAAAATTTGTTCCGAAAAATTGCCAAAAAATTCTGGGAAAAAGATTTCCTAGTGTTAATTCCAAAAACATAGCTTGTTCATGCTTCCCGAGCAAGATCTAAAAAAATTCATGGGCGATGTGGGAAAAATCGTACGAGCTATCCAAAAAATGAGGCCGAAACTAACTTCCGGTAGAATTTTTTCTGTTAAATTTCGGAAATTGTCGAAAATTGGCGCAAATTTTCTTATTCTAAAATTTTACTTTTGAGAAACTTGCTAAAAAATTCCCAAAAAATTGTTTGGATATTCATTTCGTCGTGTGGAATCTGGTGCTAAAAAGGTTAAACCTCGATTTTCTATTTCTTCCTTTTCTATTCAATTTCTAGATTTTACAATTTTTCAATTTGAGTTTCACGAGTTTTCAATTTATAATTTTTCCATTTGCAATTTTTCGTTTCAATTTTTTCTTTTCTTTATTTTTACAATTTTTCAATGTTCCGATTTTATAATTGTTTGTTTTTCAATTTCTCGTTTCATCAGTTTTTCAATTTGCAATCTTTCAATTTTTCGTTTTTTTTTTAATCTTACGAAGTCTCTAAAAGTTTTCATTTTTAAATTTTCCAGTTTTCCGATTTTTCAACTTTTGAACGATTAAATTTTTAGATTTTGCAGTTTTTCGAATTGAAATTTCACGAGTTTTCGATTTTTAATGTTCTATTAACCGAAAAACTGAAATCCGATTCATATACCTACTACAAGTAGAGGAGAACATTTTTGTATAACATTCAGCTCATTTTAAAATGGGGTTCATTGGATGACGTCATCAAATTATTGGTGTGGATGATTAGCCAATTTTGCCTAGCATTTAAACACCTACATGATATTTCCAACATACCTACAAAATTTGACAAGAATCGGTCCAGCAGTTTCGGAGATTACTTACGTGTATAATAAAAATCGACACAGACGGACAGACGGAAACGGGTGACCTAGTTTTCGTATTCTAGGGGTCATGAAATACTAAGAAAACATGAAAGTGGCCATTGGTACGATGAATTCTGTTACAGTACGCTCGGGAAATAAAAATGACAAACTCAAAGCGACACAATATACACGAAAAATTTTAAAATCGCTTAAAAGTCGAGATTATGAACAAAAATTCGCATAGGAGTAAAAAACACACAAATTTAACAGTATGGAACCGAAAATTCTATTTTGAAAGCGTAAAAGTTTGCCAGTCATGTCAACATTTCTAATAGTTGGAGCCTTAGAAAAAACGCATTTTTAGGCGATAATTTCATGCAGATGTTGATCGTGGACAGAGTAGTTATTCAGTAATTTAATAATCAGTTCTTTTGGGATCTTTTCTCATGCGTTGAAAATTTGCCGCATTATTATTACTACACTTACTCTAAAAATAAACACACGTACGAATATGACTAACTAATAGAAATAATATTATGGTGTCAAAAACACCACTAACACAACCCATCAAATATCCGCATATTTAACATAGTCAGTCTAAATCATATTTCCTATTCACTTTCAACGGCTTTTGATGTGCATACAATGTTTGCTTTAGAAATTTTCCAATAAAGTAGCACATGCGAAACGATTATAAAGCAACCTAAAACAACACGTCTACAACATAATAACATTTGCAATACCAACAAATTCGTATTAACATTTTTGGAATTTCTCCAAAACCTGTGACTGTTGATGTTCCGAAATAGAAATTACATCTAAAATTACCATGAACAGAAACAAACATTGTGTAAAAATTTAAAAACGCCGGACAACTCCGCCGCGTATAATAACCATTTTAATGTGTTGTTTATTTGTGCAGAAAATGGGAATTTATAGCCACGTTAGAGTCGCACTTCGTAAACTAAATTCGTAAATTTTTTTCTTCGTCGAAAACCCTTGTTTGTTCAATACCCATTTCCAAAAAAGCTTAATCACGCAACCCGTAATACATCAACACCAAAACCAACACCGCTCATTGTATCGACCCGCAATCGATGCCGCCCCCGGCGACGTTACTGATTACTGATCGAAGTCGCTTTCTGTTGCAGATCGCCCGTGCGAGGAGGCGGCGACCGCCGACGATGACCGCCGCCAAATAGCCGTTTCGTCCCATTGCGGTGCTCCAAACGGCGGCAGCACGGTGTTACTGAGAAGAGAGAACGAGATGCTGTCGGCGGGGCTTGGTTACGGTGTCTCTGGCCCTGTGACGGGCACCACGCCCCCCTACAGCCCGCCGCCCCCCGCGCGACACAGCCCCTTGCCGAGCTTCGGATTCACCCAGGAGCAGGTCGCGTGCGTGTGCGAAGTAAGTGGATTCGGGGGGTTGGGTGTGCGCTGGCCCTGGATTCATGTGGTGTTTGAATTGGCGGCGACGCTGGATTAGGGTTGGCAGGAGTGGGGGACAGTGGGTTTAAAAAAAGAGACAGTTAAAGCTGGCTGTGATTTTACGATTGGCAGGTTGCCAGGTGTGTTCAGATGTGGATATTGAGTGTCGTATCACGCCGGCGGCGTGTTTTGAGGTAAAATTAATTGTCACTCTAACTTTGAAACGTTCGGGTTATAATATTTCACCTGTTGACAGCTTGAGAGCGGCTGAGACAGGATTGCCAACTGCAGTTTTGTAATCGCAGCCAACTATGTGTGGTTGCTGAAAAACTCGTTGAGGGATAAACTACATATAAACTAGTTAAAGATAATATTTTTCTCAAATTTAACATCATTTTTTTAACTACACAAAAAAGCATATTTAAAAATTATATTCTACTGAAGGAGCAATAAAAAACACGGTCAAAGACGGCCATGGATTTTTCGAGACTTATCTTCGATTGTTAATTTACAACTCAAATATTCAGAAAAAGAAAACTTACATTTTTGAATATTCCCGCAGGATTATTAAATTTAATAAAAAATTTAGAAAAGTTTCACAAAAATACCGAGACAGCAATAAAAACACTATCAGAGACGGCTACGGATTTTTAAAGTTTGTCTTTGATAGAATTTTCGTGTTGTCAGGTTAACGTCAATCTGCAAGTTTGAGTTGAAAATGCAACAATCAAAGACAAACCTTCAAAAATCCATGGCTGGCTTTGACCGTTGTAATTAATAACGTTGCACCAAATTTTAGAATGTTTTTTGTGTATTGAAGAACTCCTAATAAATTTTAAATATATTAAATTTTTCAAGTCTCTAATATTTGTTTAACTTTTTTTCTAGATTTAAATGATTTTACAGTTTAATTTGGTTCCGATTTACAGAAACATATTTAATTACACAATTAACTGGTCACGTGAGTCAAAATTCAACCAATCGGAATCTAGATTCACTGGTTAATCGGATATTGTCTAATATTTAATTAAAAGTGCCATAAACTTGGAGCCACTTAGTGTTTTCTTTTTGGATAATAAATTTGTTATCAAACCAATTGAAAGCATTGAAAATAATAATTGCACCAACGTTTTTTAAATTATTTCAAAAAAGACATCAGGAACCCCCGGTTTAATTAAAATTCTTCCAAACACTCAAGAAGTAGTACCTGCTAGGGTAAGACTGATTTTGGCAAATGACATACTCGGTAAGAAAATATAGGGTGGGTGGGCGGGGCTAGTACTTTCTAAGATAAATCTGATTTTGGCAAATAACATACCTTCTAAGAAAAGAGAGGGTGGGTGGGTGGGGCTAGTAACTAATAAGATAAAACTGACTTTGGCAAATAAGATAGATTCTAAGAAAACACAGGGCGGGTGGGCGGGGCTAGTAGCTAATTTAGCAGCTACTAGCCCCGTACACCTACCCTCTCGTGTCTTAGAAGCTGTCATTTTCCAAAATCAGTTTTATCTTAGTAGGAACTAGTACTGCCCACCCGCTCTCTCTTTTGCTAGAGGGTATTTCATTTGCCAAAATCAGTTTTATAGTAACAGGTACTAGCCCCGCCCACCCGCCCTGTCTTTTCTTACAAGCTATCTTATTTGCCAAAGTCAGTCTTATCATAGCAGGTACTTGCCCCACCCACCCACCCTCTCTTTTGTTAGTGGGTATGTCATTTGCCAAAATCGATTTTATCTTAGCAGCTATTAACCCCGCCCACCCACCCTCTCTTTTCATAGTGAGTATGTCATTTGCCAAAGTTTTACCTTAGAGGCTATCTCATTTGCCAAAATCACCCAGTACTAAGATAAAACTGATTTTGGCAAATAACATACCTTCTAAGAAAAGAGAGGGTGGGTGGGTGGGGCTAGTAACTAATAAGATAAGACTGACTTTGGCAAATAAGATAGATTCTAAGAAAACACAGGGCGGGTGGGCGGGGCTAGTACTTTCTATGATAAAACTGATTTTGGCAAATAATATACCTTGTAAGAAAATAGAAGGTGGGTGGGTGGGGCTGGTAACTAATAAGATAAAACTGACTTTGGCAAATAAGATAGATTCTAAGAAAACACAGGGCAGGTGGGCGGGGCTAGTAGCTAATTTAGCAGCTACTAAACCCGTACACCTACCCTCTCGTGTCTTAAAAGTTGTCATTTTCCAAAATCAGTTTTATCTTAGCAGGAACTAGTACTGCCCACCCGCCCTCTCTTTTCCTATAGGGTATTTCATGTGCCAAAATTAGTTTTATCATAGAAAGTACTAGCCCCTCCCACCCGCCCTGTCTTTTCTTACAAGCTATCTCATTTGCCAAACTCAGTCTTATCATAGCAGGTACTTGCCCCGCCCACCCACCCTCTCTTTTGTTAGTGGATATGTCATTTGCCAAGATCTTTGTTATCTTAACAGCTATTAGCCCCACCCACCCTCTCTTTTCTTGGTGAGTATGTCATTTGCCAAAGTCAGTTTTAGTAATAATAATAATAATAATAATATAATAATATATATTGTCCAACAGAACAAATATTCCACTTACTGGACAATTTCCAATGAAACAAAATAAAAATAAAAGAAAACAAAAATAGTAATATATACCAAAAAATAAAAATAAAAATCACGTTTAGCATACCAAATAAAAAGAAAATTAAACTAAAGTAAATTACATTCAATAAATAAACTATCAATTATAGAGATAGTACAATAGAAAAACAAACAAAATATGTATCCCACCATTTTGACCATGTGAACGCAACTCCGACAAAGAGCTGCAGTAATCACTAGAACTTTCAACCATATTTAAGTAATGACAAAATAAATATACTGGAGCTCTTCTGCCAATGTTTGTTCAGTTTTACCTTAGAGGCTATCTCATTTGACAAAATCACCCAGTACTAAGATAAAACTGATTTTGGCAAATAACATACCTTCTAAGAAAAGAGAGGGTGGGTGGGTGGGGATAGTAACTAATAAGATAAGACTGACTTTGGCAAATGAGATAGCTTCTAAGAAAAGACAGGGCGGGTGGGTGGAGCTAATACATGCTAAGATGAAACTGGTTTTGTTAAATGTACTAGCCTCTACGAAAATTAACAGCGGGTGGGCGGGGCTAGGATTTGCTAAGATAATACTGATTTTGGCAAATGACATACACTCTCGTCTCTTAGAAGCTTTCATTTTCCAAAATCAGTTTTATCTTAGCAGGAACTAGTACTGCCTACCCGCCCTCTCTTTTCTTGGAGAGTATTTCATTTGCCAAAATCGATCTTATCGTATCAGCTATTAGCCCCGCCCACCCACCCTCTTTTTCCTTAGTGGGTATGTCATTTGCCAAAATCAGTTTTATCTTGGAGGTTATTTCATTTACTAAAATCATCCAGTACTAAGATAAAACTGATTTTGGCAAATGACATACCCACTGAGAAAAGAGAGGGTGGGTGGGCGGGGTTAGTACCTGTTAAGATAGGATCGATTTTGCCGAATGATATACACCTTAAGAAAACAGAGGGTGGGTGGGCGGGGCTAGTACTTGATAAGATAAGACTGATTTTAGCCGAATGAAGCCAAATGAAGAAAACATTAATTAAACTATTATAAGAAAAGATTCTTTACCGACAGGAATACCTAGACACTCAAGATTGTTTTTACATTTTTTCAAAAAAAAAACCGGTCTCCAAAATTAACTCAAAAACAGGACAGCAGAAGTTCCCCGAATGTTTGCGAATTTTCCAAAAATAGAACACCAAGGTCCCCCAAAATATGTAAAGATATGTACATATTTCATAAAAAAACGCCTTAAAAATAGAACACTGCATAGTGGAAAACAATTTTAGAGTATAGTCTGTACAATTTTGGTCTTTAGCTTTTTTTTCGATTTATGTGTTCTTGTAATAATTTAAAGGAATTTTGGGCTTAGAGTCACTTAGTGTTTTCTTTTTGGATAAATTTGAAAGAAGCTGGTGTTCTATTTTTTTATGAACTTGAAAAAATCTTTGAAATATGTGGTGTTTTATTTTTTTATGGATTTAAAAGAATCTTGAGTTCCTAGCTTTTTTTTAATAATCAAAATGTTATTGCAGATGTAGTGTATTATTTTTGAAAAATTTAAAAGAATTTTGGGCACTTGGTGTTTCATTTTTGGAAGAATTTGAAAGAATATTGGGTTCCCCCATTTTAAAATAATGTAAAGAATCCCGGGGTACCAGGCATTTTTTCTTTTTTGAACGAATTTTAGAACCGTCAGTTTTTTTTGTAATAATTTAAGAAATGGTGGTATTTAATTTTTTGGTGCCTCTTTTTGAAATAACTTAAAGAATCTTGGGGTACTAGTTTTTTTATTTTGCCGCTGCCAGTGTTTTTTGGGATAATTTAAAGAATATTAGTGTTTAATTTTTATAAACACTATACAACAATTTTAGGGCCCCTGGTATCCTTTTTTAAAATAATTAAAAAAAATCTTAGGCCGTCTAGTGTTTTGTTGCTGAATGAACTTGAAAAAATCGTTTGAGCTTATAGTGTTCTATTTTTTACGAAGTGCAGCAGTGTTTTGTTTTTTTTTTTAATCCGGGGAACTCTCGGTTACCCATAGTATATTATTTTGGAAGCCAATGGAGTTTTTTTGTAAATTATTCAAAAAATTTTAGTAGACTTTGGTATTCTATTTTTGGAAAAATTCGGGGAAGTTCTGCTGTCCTGTTTTTGGGACCTCGTTTTTTTTTTTGATAAAATTTGAAACAATCTAGAGGTTTTTTCTTAAAGGATACGTCAATTTATAAAATTAGTTTTATCTTAACAGGTACTAGCCCCGCCCACCCGCCCTGTCTTTTCTTACACGCTATCTCATTTGCCAAAGTCAGTCTTATCATAGAAGGTACTTGCCCCGCCCACCCACCCTCTCTTTTGTTAGTGGGTATATCATTTGCCAAAATCGATTTTATCTTAGCA